AATTTTTTCCCTATCTTGAATGGGATTAATTTGATTTGTTTAAGACTTATTACAGAGTCTAAGAAGTATTTTTATATATAAACATAGGTAGAGCTTTGGCAGCTCCAAAAATTCTTAGGAGGCTATTGTGGACAGCCGACAAAATGTGCAGATAAAGAACATTAAAAGTCACCGATTCTCTTTCAAAGGTACTGGGCTCAGAATGGTCTAGTGGTTAGTAGAAAGGCTGAGAGCCAGGAAATACAATTTGTAATCTAGGCTCCTCTATCAAGTTGCTGGTTTTTTTGAGCAATCATCTTCAGACTTCTACAAAAGTGCTTATTTAAGCCCTCAAGATTATGACTGCTTAAATCGATATGTCCCAAAGATTTTGAGACTGAGTTTTTGAGTGCTCCCCCAGAAGTCATTGGGGAGTCATCTACTATTCATCAACCCGAATGTTCTGGTGTCACGGTACCTGCAGTTCTTGGACACGTTTTGCAAGCTCTGGCCTTGCGTCACCACACATGGCAAATAGGAAGACTGCCCAAATCCGCTGTCCCCGAGGACTGATTAGTTGCTGCTTGTAAAGGTCACTGGTAGTGTAGAGCTCTGTGGAATACTTCTGAGGTTTATATTTTTTGTATTTCATTGCATTTACAAATAAAGATGTTAGTATTCCTCAGCTTTCTAGGAAAGCCTGCACAGTTTTGTAACAAGCACAAATAAGTTATTGTTGCAATTCTCAAATATTTTTTGTCTCCAGGGAGACAAAAGACTGTTCTTTTCTCATCAGTCAGGAAACCTCCATTTCTGTTTTAACACGTTGCAGTCAGGAGAGCGCAGCAATAATCTTAATTTTATCAAAGATAAGGAAACATTGGTCAGGCACAGAATTCAGGCTTTTGAACTTGTATCAGTAAAGAATGTGTTTCTGTTGTAGGTCATTTTAAAGCTTTCTATTAAGATAACTAAAAATGTTGCTGAAAAATTTTTTATAGTTGCAGCAACATAAAACCCTACTAAGATTTGGGTGAATCTGTTTTGTGTGAGAGGACTTAAAATTTCTTTGGTCTTTCCCCTAGAATATGAATGCATGTATTTTGTCAGAAGATTCATATTTTACCCAAACTAAATGGGACCCTGCAAACTATATGATTAAAACTATGATAAAAAGTTTATATTACATCCTTACCACATAAATTCTTAATTTTTTTTTCACTTTTGCAGATAGCTGAGACCTATTTTCAAGAGGAGGAATGTATCCTTTTACTTGCAGAAATTGTTGCATGGTATTAAAATAATGTGGCATGATAAGACATAAAAGTCAAATGCTTTGCTGCTAACTTAAATCTTGTGGGTCAGGGTAAGAAAGAAGTGAACAACCATAATTTACCCATGAGTGAATATACCACATGCTAGCAAATCCTCCTTAATCAAGATACTGGAATGTGAGCTGAAAGATAAATTCACTTCCAACAGCTATACTGATGCAATCATTTGTAGCTGGGCATAAACAAGGAAATAAGAAAATATTTTCAAATAACTTTTGTATTCATAAGGTAACTTCTATTCTAAATATTAGTAACTAGGAAAATGTCTGGTGTAGAGGTATGATATATATTATATCAAATAGGATACTAACAGTAATAATAAAATTGTCACAACAGTTGATTAGAATATGTACTAAAAATGTCTATATTGGAATAAAAGTACCAAACACATGGAACTGTGATCAGCAACCTGCAAACAATAGCAAAATGGTGTTTGACAAATGCTAATTAGTCAAAATCATATCAAGGTGGTCTGAGAAATTGGTAGGAAAATATGGATAATTGCTTCTGGGAACAGTTCAAATAGTCTAGTTTATTTTGATTTGTTCCTAGATAATGCAAGTAAGTTTGGTTCAAAAATTGTAATAGTTGAACTGCTGATAATTATTCTGATATACTTCAGTAATTGTGCGAGAGAATAATAATATTAAACCTTAAGGTTAAGTTAGAATTTTAGAAAAGGTAGACTGGGATTTCCTCTTTGCTTTAAAGGGAAAACTATCAGATTATAAAAAGAGGAGGCCAGTGGTAAGCCCTTAAGGTATATATGATTCACTAAGATGCATCATATATTACAGAATTTGTGCATACAGATTATTTCTTTACTATGTAATTTCTACAAACAAAATACAGCAAATAGGTAATTGTTTAGCAGACTAAATATCAAAGTATAAGAAACCTAGACAAATTATATTAGCCTGTAGATAAAACCAGAGAGCTAACAATTGCAATATTATAAAAGCAACGTATAAAATAAAATATCCATAACTGTTTTAGAGGACTGTGGGGTTTTTTTTTGGTCCTTCTAATTCAAAAGTGTCCATCAGAAAATGTGAATTGCACAACACAAATTAAAGGCATGGAAAAAAATCTGTAGTAAATTATTGTGCAGGTGGGAATACAGCAAATTTAAAATTTAAACAGTGTGGTCGAAACTGTTCCTCTTTCATCGAAGTTGCTTTAATTGAAAGGCACTCTATTTAAAGCTGATCAAAGGAAATATTTTTTAATGCAATGTATACCTGATGTGTGGAATTCAACACCACTATATAATACATATTTATGAAGGATATCTCTGCTGTACCTTCAGCCATCAGTTTCCTGATGTTAATAAAGAACTTACTTGATCATGTTGCACTGTATTAATTATCCATGACAGACTTTTTAATTCATCCAGTGTGTAACCTCATATTAACAATAATTCAGGGTTTGTTTCTGTGGTCCTCTAAGGCTCTCTCTGTGATCTGTAATTCTGTTTCTAATAACAAATTTCCTGAAGACAGAGAATATTCTTTCCATTAATGTTGTTGTTCATAAGCCATGCAGTTGCATGAGGCTAACCAGAATAAGAAGTACTGGTTGTGCTCTTGTAATAATTACTCCGGTGTTTTAATTAGCATGAATAATGGAAAGTGGGTTTTCTGTATTACTAAGAACTTCATTCACTGTACTTCTTGTATTGTAGAATTACTTTTCAAATAGCTGGTAAAACAGCTTTAAACAGCACAACAACAAGTCAGGCTTGGTGGAACTAGAATTATCCTGACTATTCTAAAATATGTGACTATCAGTATACCTTTGTGAATATATTGATAACCATAAGCAAAGGCAAAGAGTTCTTCATATAGAAGAAAGGCGAGCAGAATCTTCAGGAAGACAAAAGGTAAACTCAGCAGTCCAGCAGTGTTGTATACAATGGTTGAAAAGGGGGCAGGTATTTTTCAAAAGATGAAGTTGGATCAATTGTTTAATACTGTCTCCAGCTGGTCAGTAGAAAGGAGCCATATTTTCAGTTAGTCATGGTTATTGGGATATTTGTATTTCTTGAGAGTTCTGTGCTGGTATTTGTGTCATTGTTCTGCTTTTCATTTCCCAGAGATTTCATTTTTTTGGCAAAGTTATCAGCACAGTAACATTTCAGTAATTTCTTTTCAAAGAAAACCTTTTGTTGTGCTTCAGGAAGAGGTAGCTGCTGAAAAGAATGGGATTTTCATTTTTTTTGGTGTTTCTCAATTTATTTTACTTCTTGCTCGCCATTCTCATATCTGCTATTTTTTTTTCTTTCTTGCACAGGAATCAGGATGCTAGCTATTATTCATTTTGATTAACTTATTGTAAATTTCAAGTGTATAATTACTTCCCTTTCAAACATGATGCCAGTTATAAGTAAGTCATACCCTATCCACATATGTGTGCATTTGCCTTTAACCTTCCATTCAGATGAGAAGGCCATGAAGTTCATTCAGCTTGAACGACTTTATCATGAGCAGCTGCTTGCAAATCTTTCTTCCATACAGGAACAGTGGGGTGAGTACCAGCTAAACTAACACGGTAGAAGAAAGACTTTAGTTTGTATTTCTAAGTAATAGAGTTACATTTTCCATGCTGAAAAAGTTACATAGCAAAAGCAGCATTTATATCAGACTTTCTCTAAGCTTCTTACAAGAAGGGTATTCCTGCTTTGGATTTGTTTGCACACATTAAATTATAAAGGTGCAAATAGTTTGTAATTCTTTGTTGTGTTAATCAGTATTTTGATCCACAGTTGTTTCAAGCTTATTTTTGGGTTAGGGTCAGTGAATCCAATGTGATAAAAATAAAGTGTTGTCTGAAAGAGTAGGATGCTGTTCTACATAGTCTGAAATGAGACTGTAGAACATACACAGAAAAGCTGTCAATATTTCTCCATTTATTTATTTATTTATTATTATTTTATTATTTATTTATTATTTATTTATTATAAAAATGCTACTTTTATCGTATCTTGAGCAAAAACTATTTTGATTTAATTTAGAAAGAAAATGGAAAACAGCAATTGCAAGTCCAGTTACAACACTGAGGAATTCAGATAAAGAACTGAGCGGCCAAGAACTGGAAAAGCTTACTAGAGTTTGCTCTTCCCATCAACAGTAAGTATAAGAAAGTATTATTATTTTTCAAACTAATGTGTTACTGTAGCTGTTGTCTCCTTGCCATTAGGGGTGTTCCAAAATAGTCAGTGTCAAAATAAAAGTTGCATCCTGCTGACCTGAATTTGGTTATAAAGTGGTGGTTCTTTCTGATGTGTAACTAAAATATTTGTTACCATCAGTTTTCACGTTATTTTAATATTGTTTGAGGAATGTATGAAGATGAATGTATGCAGATCTGGACTGGTTTTAGCAAATCATCAGTTTTCCAGAAATGGAGTTTTGAGTTTTATTTTTTCAGCCAAAGTAAAAACTGAATTGTGTTAATTTAAGAAGAGGGAGACTGTAGAACTAATGATGGTGTTCGTGTCTAATACCTATTAGTTTTATCATTGTTTCAAAATGCAAGTGTCCAGCATCTCAGACTTCAGCACCCATACTTACCCTACAGGATTTTATTCCCAAATTTCCCCATTTTAAGACAATTCCTTAATGCTTAAAGTAGTTCTTGTTATCTTCTAGTAATTTCATATAGGTTGCATTTACATGAAGCAGTGATTCTGTACTTTCCCAGCATGACAGTATTCTGAAATCTCAGTTCATAGCTGCCTTGCCTGATCCATCAGCCTCCTGAATCAGTGTATTACAGTATAACAAACTTGTGCCTAGGGTGCCTTTCTGGGTAGTAACAGTTAGGGGGTTGTTCCTATCAGGAAGGAGGAGGAGGAGGAGATCTGTTCTTTCATGAGTGAATGTCCTACTGTCCAAACATTGATTTTAAGGCACAAATGGAAAAAAATCATATGAGCTGCAACTGAAAAATGATCAGCCAACAGCAGTTAGGAAACTAACCACATTCAAAGACTGTGAAGAGGCCTGCCTGTGGCAGGCGAGATGCTCTCAATTAGATGGGGAGAGAGAACTTTCTCTGGTACATTTGCATTGGCCTTGCAATTGCATTGTCAGTCTGGATATAACAAAAGCCAAAATGCTGCTGTTGCTCATAAAGAGTATGATATGGCAATCAAAGTTTTTTCTTCTGGGTAATGGTACCAAAGTTTGAAAACACCCTGGCTGATTTCCAGACTTCATGCAGGGATTTTTTTATGTATTTTGAATGCCTTTGGGAGGGAGCCCCTGAAGAGGTATTCCTGCATTTCCACAGAAAGAGGGGGCATGTGTAGCACTGGAGCTGCAGGACTGCACCCGCAGTGTGCAAACTGAGAGGTTGCACTGAGCGCCTGCAGCTGCCCTAGCTCGTGTTTCCCTGCACACAACCTTGCAAGCCCACAGAAAGGCTGAGACTCAAGTCTGCTGAGATTTGTACGCTGCACCGAGCAGCCCCTCCATGTTGTCACCTGGGTTGTCACTTTGTTGGGAATAACTCCGCTTTCTCCTTCATTTCAGTTTTGAAATATCGTTCCCTGTTCTGAGAAGCCCTGCAATTTGATAAAAATTAAGGCTTGTGCTCATTTGCTGTGATCAGTGCTCTATATTTAATATTATTACTCTTTTGAACTCTCTTGGCAAAAGCCTATTTGCTTTTATTTAGTTTCATATAGGTTTCATATAGGAGGTTTTTCCTAAGCTTTAAATTCATTTCACTTTTTAATTAAAATTACACTTTTATTTTTAATTAATAGCATGCAGGTCTTGGAAAATGTGAGCATTTTGCTTTCGTAATTGAAAGTAATGTAACTTTTTCTGATACTCAAGGTTTTCAGCTACATACTGGACATGTTTGCTCTTTAGAGATGGTTTTGAATGTCCTTTATTTGAAGGTTAAATGGTAAAATTTAAAAGTCAATGTAACTTTTTGAAGTTTTTGTTAGAGAATATGAACCTCAGTACTCCTCCCTTGTCTCTCCGTTATGTTTTAGTAGCTTTAAATAAAATGCTCCACATTTTATCTTCATTGCTGTATGAAGGACTGCAAGACAGATTGTGTGTGATAAATCACATTGTGCATGAATCTCTATCCAGCTGGCAAAGTCCACACTGACTGTGAGCAGCGTTGATTTACCTGTGAATCTGAATGGAGTCAGTGGGAGCTGCTGTACCCTACAGAATCCAGAAAACGTCCCAGTCTGGAGAGGGAAATACGTTTTTTGGCGAGGACATTTCATTCCTCAGTCTCTTTTATAGTGATCATTATTTTAAATATAGTAGATATCAAGTTCTTATTTGATTTTTAAAGTTAGTAGAGTTCCTTCTGAGCATAACCCTTTACAGGAATGTACATTGCTTGATATGTTGCAGTAAATTTTCTTCTGACTGCTTTCTCAATTAGGTGGAACAGTGTTAGGGCTAATTGGTCTGCTGATTATATTCATGCAAGTACAACTCTGAGTTTGGAAGTATGCTAGCAGGTTGACACTTTCAATGGAAAAGTTCTGTGCTAATTTTAGAGCAGAGCAAAGATTTCTAAGATTTCACTTGGATGTATTATGAAGAATGTTGCCATTAGATTGTTTAATTTATTCTTTTTTCCTTTATTGCTGCAGGCCACAGACATCCAAAAATAAGGTAAGCAGCTGTTTAATTGAATTTTGCTTTGTCAAAAATTGGTAATAAATATATTTTAAATATTAGATAAAATCTTTAGAACCTTTTTGAAGTTTGAATGTCTCAAAAAGTCATAGCATTACTGTTTAATTCCAAAAATTACAGGTAATACTATCATATTTTACAGCTAGTAGCTGCAGAAAATACATGGGAAAGCAGTTATTTGCCTCAGTTAATGGAATCCAGAACATTAAAGGAAAGAGAAGCTACTGCCTTTCAATCAGGTATGTGTATACATGTGCATACATTTGTTTTAAATATTACAATAATCATTATGTAATGACATATTCCTGTAAATACAATGAAGCTATTTCATTTGAAGCTACAGCATTTGTTGGATCTCTACAGATGCACAAATGGATGATTATTTTTTTTATCAGCACAATGGATAAATAATGCAATTTTAATTAGTCATTGATATTCATAGTAGTAAAGTAATTCCAGCTTTCATCAAAAAAAAGTCTTAAATATCCATGTATTTATAGAAGCTTATTTAAGCTACAAAATTTTATAAAACTAGAGATAAGATGCATAATTTGTATGTATACAAATATATACTAGGTAATCAACCTGGTGACAGACATTCTGAGGTGTGGCAATGGGGTATAGTTAACAGTATTAGTAACTATTTTAAGTTACATGCAGTGTACTGATTTTGATATGCATTTTTCTGAAGCAACACAGAAAATGATGAAGCCTTTGGGGGATCTTGAAGAGAAAAACATTCTTACTGAATGAACTTAAGTTGTTTTTAGTACATACTTTCATGTCAGCATCATTTTCCTTTTTCTGCCTTGGGGCAGTGTCTGTTTTCTATGAGTAATTTGTTAGAATCTTTGGGTTCTTATGAAACATTTACAAATTAAGGAATTGTTAAAATGGAGACAGAGTGAGAAGGAATATTGGTAGCCAACCAGGCAGTGCTTTTGTTCTCCTCTCTCTGAGCAAAAAGTTTCTAGTATTTAGATATACCAGTTGCCAAAACTGGCTTTAGCTAAGTACCTTTCCTCAAAAACAGTTAGAATTCCTCAGAAGATGAGAACTGGCCTAAGTGACCTTATGAGGTCCCTTTCAAGCTAAACTATCCTGCAAGTGTGCATTTACATGTATGGAGCCTCTCTACCACCATGCTCTTTTACCATGACCCCTATTTCTCCACTTTTATTCTTGTAACCTAACTAAACATATAGCATTAGAAACATGAAACAAACATGTTCCACAGCTCAGAAAGTAGATCAAAAGAAGACAGTGCTTTTTATTTTTGGATGGTTGAAAATTCACATGGAAAAAAAATAGAATATTACAGTTTTTCCTCTGATTTTATTCCAAGCAGGAACAAAAGCTTTCTGGAGAGCAGAATTTCTGAACATTTGAATGTTCATCATGAATTCAAGAGCATTTTGTTTCAATGTTGAAATACTCTAGTACAACATCTTGACTTAATGTGGAAGGAATTAATGGTGTAAATGTATCTTTTCATGCCTTTCTCTTAATGTAAATCTTGCAATAATATCATAAAAATCTTTGGGCTCTTTTTGGTAAATTAATAAAGCTGTATCATCCAATAAAAAGCAGTTCTGCTGAGAATTTTTCAGCAGTGATAAGTACTTTCACTACAAAGATAGGAATATTTCCACCCTAACTCAAGTTTAAATGGTTGAGATTTGCAAAAGATGCTTTTCACAAGATTAGTGGGTGTTCTTGAGGAAGCAATGAATGAGTGTGAGCAGCTGTTCAGGCAGCATGTGGTCATTAGCTGCTGCTGTCCTTCAGTGTCAATGTATCGGTAGCATGGGCATGAATGAGTTTTGCTGCAGTTAGAAGGATTTGGGTAGGGAATGCATCAGTATGAACCAAATACAGAAATTTGACGATCAGGTGATTCATAGTCTGAAATAACATTCAGATAACAAGCTGTGCGTGAGTAATCCAGCTCAGGACTAGCAGCAGTATGACCATTTGGGACAGGTTCTTGATTTTGCCTGAACCCCAGCAGAATCCTATATTGCAATAAACATACAGTTCCTAATATTTAACCTTTTCAGCAGTAGCCTAAATGCATGGGCCTTCCCACTGAAAACTTAAAATGCTTGACTTCTGCTTTCTAGGTGTTTTTTTCCTCTACAAAAAAAAATGAAAAATGAAATTAAAAATGAGAAGTAAACATGTAAAGTTTTACTTTTCTTATATCTGTATCTGCCAAATCACAGGAAGAAATACTTAACTCATTTAGCTGCTTGTAGTATAAGTCTGACTTACAGTAAGACAGGAAAAGGAAAGTCAAGTGTTTTGAGAACTGGCCTTCATATGGATTCATATTGAATAAGAATTTATGTAGCAATTATCAATAAGAGTACATAAAATGCGTTGTAGTAATATCTATATTACATTCTAGAGATTGTTGCATTGCACTATAGTAGTATCTTTGATGTAAAATCAGACTTCTCTGGTAATCTGAAGCAAAAATTACTCCATTGATCTGCTAGGGTATATGGGGACATAGTTTGAGCCTCTGTAGGCAGTTGATCCTAAGAATTCCCAATTCCTCTCTCCTGGGACTATAGCGACCAACAAACAGCTTTGTAAGAAGTCATCCAGTCAAGATTCCTGGGACAGTACCTAATTAGTTTTCTGCCCTTCTGAGCAAGGGCTGTGAATGGTCTGTTCTATTTCATTTTACTTTCTGGCAGATTTTCACTCTGTGAAATCTACCAACAGCGAGAATTTGACTCTTGATACTGTGTGTATATATTAAAAGATGAGATTTGATACATCCTTTACCCATGAATTTCTTCAGTTTCTGACTAATAGCAGAAACTTAATAGACTTGGTGTTAACTAAAGATAAATTAATGTGTTTCATTAAAACCTTCCTAACAAAATACTGAATTTAACAAAACCTTTAGCATAAATTTACAGTGTGTACATATAGTTTAGACTTGTTTCCAGGATGGGGATGAATTCTTTATACCCTGTTTTCTTTTAGGTCCTGTGGGATTTGCTTTTGATGGGGAAGAAGGACAAGGATGGAGAAGTGTGAATTCTCCATTGGTAGATAGATTGCAGATCAGTACTCTGTCTGCTAGGCGTCTTGGATTAATGAGACCAAGTGGTACCTACAGGTTTCTGTGATGAACAAACCAATTTTGTTGTCAATTCTAATTGTTGTCAACTCTGTTAAGGGGAAAATAAACCATTTTATAAATTACCCTAGGTACTTCTGTTGCTAAAAAAATTTCAGTAGACACTTGGTTGAACCTCTGTCAGTTAGGTAAAAATTACTGCCCCTGGTGGGTATGTCTCCAGTTAACTCAGTGTGGGCAAAGGCATCTTTTCTAATTAAATCTTCAAGTATTTGTCTTAACTTGCCTTCAGACTATAGTGGGCAAGGGTTGCCTGAAGTAGTTGTAAATATTGGACACTGCTGAAAACCTGATGTGAATGATCATTGCATCCCAGTTCTTGTACTGCTGCAGTTAGATAACAGTGCTAGGATAATTTATTACTTTCTTAGGAACAGTGCCCTGAGCTCAAGGGACACCTTTTACAGTAAAGAATCTGATTTAATTTCCGATTCCATTTAATCTTTGTTGCAGCTGGGGCTGCCAACAAAGATGCCTGTTGTAATGTGGATGTATCCACTAGGAAAAATTGACAGATGGTAACAAAATCTTGTACCAATAATACAGGCTGTGTTTGAACTCATGACCTGTATGTGAAGGACTCAGTATCCCATTACAAATCCCTTGAGCTATCTACTCATCTGTGTCTAATTTTTAAAAAGTCCCTGTCTCACACCTATTCTTTCAGTGTTTTACAGAAGTTAGGTTCCTCGTACTCTTTCTGTCTGCTAATGTCATTCTGATACTTTTCTCCACATTTTGATTTGCTTGGATATTCTCTTTTTCAGTTTTCAAGTCTGTTGTTTCCATGCTAACTTGCATTTCATTATCCATTAAAAGGGGGATAGTTTGGAATTTAATGAAATTGTTTAGTACAATGAATTAATGCATATATTTGTTTTAATGAATGTGACTATTTTGTGTAGCAAGTTCAGGAAATTGCTCACATTTTAAGAGAGGTTTTAACAGGTGAGGAAGAATAAAATTGTCATAGAGAACTCAGTTAAGAAGGACATTGTTTGACAATCTTTATTAATCTGTTCATAAGATCTTTCTGTTCTTCACTAAGACCAAAAAGCTCAAATAAGTGTTTCCTAAAATTATTAATTTGTTGATTGAGGTTATTAATATTACTGCAACAGTAGTCCTATTATAACATAGTATTAACTTAGTTTTTTATTGAAGTATGGAATAAAAGGCAGCTTCTGTCATAGCTAGCATTCTTTGATACTTTAATTCTTAACAGCCCTTTTCTCTCTTTTCAAGCCTAAAAACAGAGTTTTGGTTTTCTTGAAATGGTTAATAGCTAATAATTTCATAGACAACTTGGGCTAACCATCTACTCCTTCATCAGCACATCATGCCAACAGTAGGTGAATTCACAAGCTATGTAGAACTCCTTGTGTGTCTCTGAAATTTCAGATAAGAAAAAATAATTTTCATATGTATTGTAAATATGAATACAGAAATAAGCTGCATCAAATGACATTTTTAATATGTAAACTTACTGATCCAAAAAGCAGTATCTTTTTATGCTTTCCATTTATGGGAAATGTAATTTCTATTTAGTTTAGTGTTAATCAAAGGAGCTAGAGATCTGCAAATTTAAAATCTATTAAATTGGTATGATTTCAGCTTCTTTAAAGGAAATGCAGGTATCTCCCTAGGTGATAGATACACTGGCATCAAGATACAGTTTTCTGTAATTAAGTGCATTTGCCTGAACTCCAGGTCTCCATGAGATGACTCACGTAAAATACCAATTGAAAGAAAAGTGACTGTTCAGAAGGATACTCACTTACATATTGGGAGTAACTTTTTTCAGAAGGACACTCAATCATGTGTTTCACCTGCAAGAATGCGTGCAAATACTTTTTTATTTCCTTGAGTCAGGAGTCAGAGACTACTAACAAGCTATCCTGACTGGAGCATAAAATACCTGCCCTTTATGGGAGAGCATTTTGAAGCATTAGGTTACAATGTTATCAAATCACAGTATACTCTTTCCCCCCTGGGCTGATGCTTTGAATCATTTAAAAACTCTGGAACTGTTTTTCCTATTGCACTTAGGTACTGAAACTTGTCCTGGCACTGGACCAAAGAAAGAAGATAAACAGCTGAGCACTGTTCACCCAGGTGAAAACAAAACTGAGAGACAGACAGAGGCAGCAAGTCTTTGGGTAGCTGCAGGAAAGGACCACATGGAGGAGCAGCACTGCAATGCTGAATCAACATTGGAGCCACACACCCAGTCCACAGGGACAGTGGGCAGGCCTTCCTCAGGCTCTTTATCATCTGGGGATGTCAGTAAAGATAACAGTCTGCAGCTGAGGGAAAGACAGCTCTCCAAGGATGCAGTAAAAATAGAAGGGGCTGGGGAGCTTGGAGTGAAACTCCCTCTTGAGCCAATGGTAGATGCTTTGGCTTTAATAGATGCTGATTATATGCCTACTGATTTGGTTCCTCCTGATAAAGATGTGGCAGCTGATAGAAATCTGCTCAGATCAAAACATGCTGCTGGGTCTTTGGAAACTGCTGGTGGCCAGCTTGGAAATAGTGATTTAAAGCAGCAACAGATACAGCCTGATGATGATGATGAACCTTCATGGGACAGAACAGCATCAGATGAATGCGCTGGGTGTAATAAAGTGTCTGAGCACGACAGTACTGCCCATGCTCAGGTGTGCAAGGAAATACAGAGAGCAGCAGGATGGGAGGAGAAGGTCAATAATGAACAAGAAGATTTATTTCTGAGGTTTTTGAATGGTAACATAATAGACACTGAAGAATCTGCAAACTTTGCAAAGCAAGAGGACTTTGACACTGTTCCAGATATTTCACCCGAACGAGCATCTTATAACTCCCTGGAAGCTTTATCACTAGATGACAGCTTTTCTTCTCTTGATGAACTTACAAGAAGGATAGAGATTACTGAGGTAAATATTGTGAATCCTATAAAATCTTTCATGTTTATCTCAGATAAAATATTTTAGATATTGCCAACTTCAAAATGTGTTAGATATTCCTTCATGTGTCACTTTTTCAAATCTGAAATCTATACATAGTTAATTGTTCTGAGTTACTCAGAAAAAAGTTTAATTTTGCCTCTCTGTCTCCTTCTTGACAAGGAGTGCACTGTGTTTCAAAATTAAGATTGATTTTATGCATTAATGTGATACCTGCGGGATTTTCTTTTTTTTTTTTATTCTGACACAGGCTGTTTTATTCCTGTTAAATCAAATTTTGTGTCAGAGATCTACATCATGCCTATGATGTACCATCATCCATTTCTATGCATAGAACAAAGTTTGCTTTTTTGTGCTTATTCCATAGAGGTGAGAACTACATATATATAAATTATGTATATAAATGAATGGGCTTCTGATTTTGTCAAGTTTAGGCAGATCTGTTGTTCAACCTAAGCTAAGAAAGAGCTTCTAACCCTGAACCCACCTTCCTTAAGCACTGCTGATAGGCCTGTAACAAGGGTGAGTGCTTCATAAGCTAAATTGCTCTTCTGAAAATAGAGAAGATTTATTGCTTTGGGACTTTTTTGGAGAGTGTAATGACGACATCTTTGCTTTATTTGTCTTTTGGTTTTGCTGCATTTGCATCCATGGGACCTTAATAGCTTTTTTTAAATGAAAAAAATGAGTGGTTTATGATGTTATTTCAGATGCTGGAGAGGGAAGACTTGTATAAAGGTATCTTCTTAGTTCATCTCTATTTTTAAGATTTTTAACAATAGATTATCCTTTGGCAATAAAGTTGCAGTACTTCTCTATAGATCAAGCTAATTCACAGAGACCAAGAAACCCCATAATTGCTCAAGGACAGTGGCCAACCAGGGAACTTAATACTGGGGATCAATGCTGATGTTATTACATGTTCGGTAAAGTCTCTAGAGCTGAGGAGAGAGCATTTTGGTTTTTCTCCCTGCTTCAACAGTTTGTTACATCCTTTCCAAGATCATGCCTCTCGTCTTTTGTGGGCTCTCAGGAAGTATGCCACATGCCAGGACTGACAGCCACGCGCACAAAGCTGTACACAAGGAGATGTGGAAACCCACATACATGTTAATACATATATCACAAACTTTCAACTTTTGGACTTCAGTATGTCCATTGGCTTGCATTCACCTACAGGGTGGTTTTGAAAAAGAGTGTTTTGTTGACAAGCTGTGCTAAGCCCATATACGTGTATAACAAAAGAGTAATTTAAGTATCATCCCTCAGCATTAAATTTCTTTTGAGCCCACTGAAAGTTCTGCATTTTAGCAGAGGAGTACTTTTCTGTTTCACATAGATAAAGCCTAAATTAATCCAATAGCATCTATTTTTAAATAGCTATGTTTGTGCCATTTGTGTTTCAGAGGACCGGATAGGAAGCAGCATATTGATACTGTTAGAAAAATTATGCTTGTATTGATTGTCCCTGTGACCGATGATGATGCTTTACAGGGCATCTAATTTCAATTCTAGTTTGCTCTCCTGATGCTGGGACTGCCAGTACTCTGATGGCAGAGTTGAGAATCTGCAGAGGAAAAAGGACCTTAAGTTTTCCCATAGTATTTTTCCTAGCCATATAAGGCATCATGTTGGCTGCATTGGTGAGAGTCCACTTGAATCATTCTTAGCAAGAGGTCTGAGTTTTGTGTGAGGCAGGGGGCTTAAATGGGAGAAGGATTAATGTCAGTAGCAATTAAAATTTATAATATGCAGCATCTGGGGTTGTTTTGCAATACTTGAGATTTTTAGGTCCCACAGGGTGAGTTAAGGACACCACCCTAGCTTGTATTGTTTCATTACACGCTTCCGGGATGTATTTCCAGGTAATCTTGCCACCCATACAAGCCTAGGGGTTGTTTTTCAGAAGTAGTGAGCACCCACAGATTTCTTTGAAGACACATTTGGAAAAATTTGGCACTCCTGAGAAACCAGCATTGTTAACTTGTGTTTTAGTGCTAAAATAAGATTGCACTGAATTTTTGATCAGCAGACTGATCTTTGTACCCGGCTGTAACACTTCCTTTCTTGTCCTCTTGAAGGCTTTGAAATTGCATTGTTCAGGCTATAGAACAATATAGCCAAGAAGATAACAGTGTCTTCATACTGGTTTTCAATGAGGTATCTAGAAAATGCATTGGTAGCCACATGAGCGAAATTAAATGAGTCACATGAAATGTTCCAATGTGGCAGTAAAAAATTAAAAAACAATCAATTTGACTTGATAAAACTTGTCATGAAGTGTTTACAAAACTGCCACAAACAAATTAGAATGGAAGGTGGAAGTAAAGATAATTTTGAAATAACTTGGGGACAAAACCCATATGGTAGGATAAAATTTCATTAATGTTCTTCAATTGACATGTAATAATAATTTATTGAAAATGGGGAAGGGCAAATACATGTGTATGTATTTACAGCTAAGAAGTTTTGCTTGGCTCTATATTGAGCTCCAAGAATCATTTCATGCAATTTTCTAATTTAGATACTTTGTCGCTTACTTTTAGTTTATCATTTGCAATAACTAATTACAAGAGTGAAATTTCACCAAATTCTGACTGGATTTAAATAGTTACAAAACTGAAATAGTAGTTTTCATATTGTACAGGCCCTTATGCTTGGTATTTCTTCACTAGTACACATACAGCAACAGCAAATGATGGAAAACCAGTCATTTTATAGAAACAAGATTTGTACAGCTAACAAAGAGCTTTGAAGCACAGTCAGAAGCTGGCAACAACAGATACTAGAAGTATATAGCTCTTCTTAAATATTTTTGCTATCATTTCTGTGAGAATGAAATGACACACCAGTGACAAAACAAATTGTAATCTCAAAAAAGTTGCATTTTCCTATATAAAATAGAAGGTTGTAGAGTAAACTTTTTATGTGAAAGACAGGGAAGTGAGTAAAATCTTGAAGTTTTTCCTTATTAGAAAATTATAATTGGGAAATTCTTTTTAGAAAGCAAAGATAGTGAGATTGTCTAACAAAACATAAATTTTTTGGATGGCAGTTTGTGTACCAAGAAATGAAGTCTCCACTAAGTTTGGAGGCAATGTTTTGCATCCTCTGTTCTCTTGTGTGGCTTGGGTCAAGAACTAGGCTTCCATGTGATGTGCTTACACAGTATCTGAGGTATTTGTTGCTGTATAAAGAAGCTCAGGTGCTTGCATGGCAAGTGTATCAGCAGGAAAAAATAGTTACCTTCTGTATCTGTGGTATGAATCCTGGATCTGCAAAGTTAGTTCTTTTTCAAACTCAAATTACTTACATATCTAATGTATTTTATTAGCAAAGGGGTTTGTCTGCTGCTTTTATTGTAACACAGGGCAGTCTTAGGTTTTGTCACTTTGGGGATTACTGCTTTAGGAAAATCTGGTATTGCTTGTAATAAAATTCCAGGTCTTTGCCAAATAACTGAATAAGGAATACAGCCCAAAGAATAATACACAAACCTTCTTGAGTAGTTTTCTGCATTCAGACCAAACTACTTAATACAATGAGCTTTTCTTCCTAGTTCCCAGTTTGTAGTGCCTCCATTCTGGGGTTTTTATTTATGTCTATATCTAGAACTAATTCTAATTGTCAAATCCAATATGTTTTCTCAAAGAACTTGAATTACAAGGCCTTATTTTCATAGTTTTGTCTGATATGTTTATAAAACAACATACAGACATCATATATGTTGAAAGTAAGAACAAAGTAAGAAGATTTTTGTTATTACCAAATGCTGTTTTAAACAGAGAAGAGACAGGTAGTTTAATTAGAGTTTATTTTTTCTAATTTTGCAACCTAGTTATTAAAATTTATCTAAAAGGTGTAAAACTTTTGATTGAAGCTGATTCACTTTCTATTAATGGTGGAGAAAAGAGAAAAGCTTTATTTAACAGAGTTTCAATTAACCAACAGTCTAAATTCTGCTTTCCTTTTTGACTGTTGGTGAAAACACCAGCACACACCTGCATGCCACTTTCAGTTCCTGTACAGTGGCTATAAAAGCTCCAGTTGGAAGATTTTGTGAAGGCCAGAAGAGCTGAGTAAGCCCAGTTACATAGATGTTCCAAGACCATCTTTTGTTAGTTTTCCAGCTGAGAATTAAGAAAATATCTGATGGTTCAATAGGGTCCTTTATGCAGCTCTTTCATGTAAGAGCTGTTTGCAGGGCAGTCTGGTGCAAGCCTGTATTTTGCTGCCTGTGGTTCAAGTCAAGCCTCTGCTTGACTTGTGGTCAACTGTATTAACCACAGTTCCCTCATTAACTTCCAATTTAAATAATATATTCCTCTTGCCTGAAGAGTGGGATGTAAAGCTTCGTCCTGTGTGGCAGCTGAGTCCTTCTCCTTAGATGCTGAAGATCATCAGATGTTGTGGGAGATGGATCTAATATAATCACTTCGTATATTGCAGACAAAGACAAAAAACCTTAAGTGCATAACTTGTAAAATTCAAAGGCAGATGAAGTATGGCAGATGAGGTATAGTCATGCCATGGAGCTGAGTCAGAGCAGGTTTAGGTTGGATGTTAGAAAAGGTTCTTCACCCAGAGGGTGGCTGGGCACTGGAACAGGCTCCCCGGGGAAGTGGCCACAGCACCAGCCTGACAGAGTTCGAGAAATGTTTGGACAATGCTCCCAGGCACATGGGATGACTCTTGAGGTGTCCTGTGCAGGACTAAGAGTTGGACTGGATGATCCTTTTGGGTCCCTTCCAGCTCAACATATTCTATGATTCTATTCTAGGTATGAATTACATATCATGTAAAGGGGCCATATTTCAAAATACAGTTTATGGCTTTTGTTGGGATAGGGAAGTAACACTAGCCACACTGATTTTTATTGCAAAATCAAAAGCACTTGCTCCTTCTTTTTAAGCAAAAGAAGATGTTCAGAATAGAGAAACCTGTGCTGTGTCAAATTAATTCTTTATACATTTAAAGTAAATCCTGAAATGTAGCCATGTAGTCTGACAGGGAAAGTAAATGAACCTCATTGTAGCAAGACTTTCCTCCAGAAAGCCTTTTATGTAACTGTAATTACTGAAACACATTTTCACATAATCCTGTCAAGGATAGCCCTCTGTTTTTAAGCTTGGAGAAGACAGTGAGTTTGTGGTACAGTCATTCAGAAGCTACCAAGAGCCAACAGACAAAATGAAGTGTCTCAGGTTGCAGTGATGACTTGCAGAACAGACCACCACTTTCCATCTTAGGGCAGACTAGTAGGAATGCCCTGGCATCTCTGGGTGACATTCCCACCTTGTGCAGTCCAAGCCACTTAGGAGTAATCATGCCAGGCAACAGCCAGCCTGCTGTGTGGGTGGTGTGGGAGGAGCCATTGATCCTCTTTATGAAAGCAATGCTGTCAGCAGAAGCTTAAAATAATCTACTCTAAAGGATATCATTTCATCTCCACCCTTCCAAATAAATAAGTCAAATTAAAGCACTCCTACATAATCCCCCTCCCTCTTGACAACAAGGGAACACAAGTGTTGATTTTTCTGCTGGCCTGTTAAATTTTTGTGGCAGTTTTGCAAGGCTAATTTAACATTACCAGTAGGAGCTGCTCTTCTGTGCACTCATTTGTTGTGATGAGACACTTGCAGACTATTATTTCTGGGTCATTTGTGCCAACTATTGGTCCTCTGCATGTTGACTTAGACAATTTATTTCCTCTGCCTCCACACTTTCACTACTTTCCAAGTACTTCCTTGTATTGTTTCATTAAACAAATCCATTCAAGCTCTTGAGCAGATAAACAAAAGGGAAGGAGTATAAAAAGTGTGGCAGTGATCAATTTTACCCTCTCAGTTGTGATTTTGGAAAAGTTATTAAAGACTGTAGGCATGCACCCACAGTGCCCAGCTCCACATTGTTCTGGGTAAAGTTATTTGTCCATTTGAGGGCTATAAAATACTGCCAGACCTGAGACCTGCAAGTGTAATAGCCACATTTATCAGTTAAATATTGCAAAGGCCAAAGCTTTTGGCAGCAGTGCCTATTGGATTGTGCCCTGTGTCTCGCTGTGTGCAGTGCACCATCTCTCTGATTACAGCGTGCATCAATGCATTATATAAGCTCGTACCATGAGGTGAGCTTAAGGACATAAGTTATGAAGTTGTTTTCTTTTTCTCTAGAGCTCTTGGAAATGCAATGCAAACAAGTTTTTATGGGGAATCTTCTAACTTATGTTATAGATAGACTTAAGCAGTCAGCTGTCTGCAACTACAGCTTTACTTGGAAAATTTTGGGGTTTTGAGTTTTTGTGGAAAAGTAGAAGCCTTAGGGATTATCTAATAGATGAGTTGCAAATTCAGTTGTAAATGTGATACGTTTTGTCTGTAGCACAAATGTATACATATTACTTTCCAGTTTAGCAAACATTACTGCTGATCTATAGAATTATTTTTTTTTAAGTCCTACTAAGATCTAGGAAGAAATAATTATGACTTTTTTTGAGGCAAGTATGCTCGCAAGGTAAAAACAAGAGCAGTTCTAAACATGCTTTCTTCTTTAAGTGCTGTTTATTTCTAGCACACAGGGAACTACTTGCTTAGGAAAGCATTTTTCTCCTGATACCTTACCTACTTTCATTTCATTAATAACTAGGAAGTTACAGACTGCTCAGCCAACCCAGTAACGCTTAGCCTATATTCTTGCAACTAATCCAAATGCTATAGCAAAGAAAGGAGAAGTTGTGATGACTTGTTTATTGACTTGTTGACCACATTGCTGTTTGTGCAAGCTGTTTGGGTGACCAGCCTGTAGGGAAAGATTTTTGAGCTGCTGCTGTATCCAGAGAGCTTATTACAACGTGGAGCTGGAATGTATCCAAAGCACTGTAGCTTTCTTTCTCCCTGGTGTTCACTCTCTTTGGTTTTGTAGCCCCACTGTAGCTGCTTTTCCTCCATGGGGAATCAATTGCGGTGCTGGAAAGTTGATCTCACAATAAGTATTTGATGGTCTCCACAGGATTATATCTTTGGAGGGGCAGCAGCAGTATGTCATTGACTTCTTATTGCCCTCTGATGATAGTGATTTTGGCACAAGTCTGCCTCAACGCTGCCCCTGCCCACGTCAGCTTACAAAGGAACACAAAGTATGATCCAAGCAGAAAATGTGTGTGTGTATCTAAATTCTATAGCAATTAAGTGCAAGCAGTGTCAGTAAGCAGCAGAATGATACTGCAGCTCTCCTGTCTGTTCAGGACTTGATATATTCAAGAAGGAGGTTTCACAAGTGTTGCAATGTTTAAGAAAAACAGACTGGAAACTATTTATTAACTGTTTAACTTGTTTCCTCCATGAGTCATTGAGAGAAATCAAAGCATGAGCTCTATTTAACATCTCTTGTGCCACTCGCTGACTTTCCTGATAGATTACCCCAGTGGAAGGATTGGTGTCTATACTAAAGAAGAGAGATGACAGGGATGGAAAAACAATTGCTCAAGTCCAGCAAAGGCAAACAAAGAGAAGAGTGAGATTCCAAGAAATGGAAGACACATTGGATCAAGGTAGTTTAAAGCTCTTAATTAATGGGTTGCACTCTTGGGGTGCAAATATTGTCAATCTTTTTGTTTACAACAGCAAAACAGGCATTTATTGAATATACTCTATTGGTTTTTTAAAATTTAGTAAGTAAAGGTGATTGATCAAAGATTGTTAATCCATACCAGGTTTGGGTGATAAGGAGGATACAATAAGCACAGTTCAGTTTTAAAGCTTGGTTGAGAAGTCACTGCTTTTTTCCTCTGGCTGAATGATTTCCAAGTGACAGATAATTTATGAGCAATGTTCATTGCTTGGAGGTGGGAAGTGTAGGCTTTCTCCTTAAATCCATTTACTGTGTAGGTAGATGGATGCAAAAGAAACAAGTCTGTTGTGCTTTGTCCATGAGTACATTTCCAACCATTTCTAGTACACCGTGAGATTGGAGGGTATCAGATTTTAACCCTGCTTTATAATTTAACATCCATACATATTTGCTAGCTGGCATTAAATCTGGCTTTACACCTTACTGTCTTTTTGATGGGCTAAATAGCTTCATGAGAAACACAGTATGCTATTCTGTTATGCTTTCTTTTGGAGTTTAGGGTCTTCATTATTCAAACTGAAGAGATATTAAGAAAATAGTTTTGAGTGCTAATGATATAGAAAGTGCTATCTACTGTGTATGCCAGCCACTAAATGATATAAATTCATTCTTAAACGTGTCTCAAACATTCATGGCCTAAAAAGAGACCCTATCCCATCTTTTTCTTGAAATTATTTTTAAAGTATTTTTATTTTATTTAAAATTCCAGTTAGTTTTTTCTGTTGTTTTTTCCCAAGGATTTAGTGATTCAAAAAGAAAGTAGTTGTATATTGTTATTATTACTTTAAATTTGATTTCAAACACACACCAAAAAACTGTTGAACACTTGAATGTTTTTTTTACCCCATTTCTTCTCCCTGGTGTACAGTGAAGGGAGTACAGAAACTTTCTTAGAGCCACATCTGTCTGACAGACGATGCAGATGTTGTTCATGCATACAAATTAGCAAGGACAAGTGAGGTGGTGAGGATGTAGCAGCACCTCTGCAACCTCTGCATTGCTCCTACTCTGGAAGAAGCAATCATGCAAAGAATAACTGAGATGTAAAATAACCCCACACATTAGCCTGCACTGAAGGTTTAGTGTCTGTAGTCAAAATGTGAGAGTAATCACAAGCAGTTCATTGTAGTGCAGTCAGTGTCATTACAAATGAAGCAAGAATGTTTCCATTTGGTTTAGTTTCCAAGCCTTTGTTTCATTTCAACTATTTCATGAAGGACGGTTGTGGGGCATTCTCACAGTGATCTCAGCACAGCAAGGACAGGTACACAGACTGCAGAAATGAAGCAATATAATTATTTAGGTTTCTGAAAAGACAGAAACATAATATTCCTCGTATGTATTGTGGTCACTTTGACATGGTGAGCATTATTGTGTTTACCTCCTGACCTATTCATGATACAAACCTATCAGCTTTTCGCACATGCATTTATATTGTTTTGTATAGCATCTTTTTTTACCTTTTCTGCTCTTATTTACAGATGAAGTGTCTGGTGGCTCCTGTATTTTGCTGATCCTGCTCTGCATAGCAACTGTTTTCCTTAGCATTGGAGGAACTGCACTGTACTGCACCTTTGGTGACATGGAATCCCCTGTGTGTACTGAATTTGCAGACAACATGGATTTCTATTATACACAGATACTGCAGCGTGTGGAAGAACTGAAACACTGGATAGCCCTCTCATAGCTGAAAGGAGTGGACACAGCACGCTGAGAGCTCACCAGTGGCTACTGGAGAGAGTAGAACAAAACTGTGATTTCAAGTTCTCTAACACTTGCCACCTGCAGGTGATGTGTATTTGATGATACACTTTCACATTTACTTAGAAATCAAGAAAATTTTAGTTTAGAATTCAGGTGGCAAAATGTTCACATCTGTTCACAACTGTAGCAGTGTGGCATGGGAGCATAAAAAAGTTATTATCTTCATCCTTTTGAGAGTAGGCAAGTAGCTTTTCATCCACTTCAGCAAGTGAAGAAGAAGGAAGAAAATTAACTGTCTTCTGTATTCTCTCCCATTGCCACACATTGTGTAAGCAATCTCTGGAAGCTTAGTAAAAGGACAGCTTTAATTTACAGCTGTTTGTGCAAAGGTGTTGCCTCCAGCTATCATGCAATAAGTCTCTGTTTTATGGAAACATTATTTTTTTTTCTAAGTCTTAATGTTTTTATCCATTTTATTTCTCCTGGTGAGCCATGTAATTATTTGGGTGGAGTGAGAAGAGTGCGGTGGCATTCAGAGCCCTCATTTGGTGATTACCAGGGTGACCCTGTATCTTATAGCTTGCAGTGAATATCATGAATGGGATAAATCTGCTGGCAGATTTCACTAAATTTCTTGGACCTTTACTCTCAGTATCATGTGGGTTGTTTTAGAAATGGAAGGTTAAAAAAGAAATCACTGGTCTCACTAAACACAGAAACAAAAGATGTTTAGTAAATTATTCATATTAAATAATCAAGTAGCTTTGGCCCATTTTAAAGCACCTGGTAGCAGGTGTGGGGCCAACTGGGTTTTCCTCCAGCTATGTCACTAACTTGGAGTAATCACTTTGTGCCTCAGTTTCTCCTCCATAAATGGGGAATAATGATCCTTGCCTTTGTCTATGAATATTTATTGGAATTAGGGCTCATGTCTGATTCATCCCAAATGAGTGCACAGGATCACGGAACCATGTGGCTGCAGCCTCTGTCAATGAGTGAAAGTTATGTAAAGTGGGACTGATCCAGCAGAAGAGATTCAGAGGTTCACTGCAGATCCACAGATCTGTTAGTATTCCAGGGCACTTGTTCCAGCTGATAAAGCACATTTGCATGTATTTGCCCTGCAGTTCTGGGACCTGTATTGCACAATCTGTTCTTTCTCTATCAGCTTTACAGACAAATTTAGATCAGTACAGAGAGTCATTTTAAATGGGTATTTCTATCACTTGGTGCTCAGCCCTCCCTGTGTGGTGGTGAGAGAAACGCTGACAGGACAGTGAAGGTGAGAATTAGATGAATTAGATACACAGGCCTTTGGGCCATGCTCTGGTCAAGATGTGGCAGCTTTTCTTGCACAGAGCACAGTGGTCCAGCCCTGCTGATGGTGTGAGTGTGAAACGATTCCTTTACACCTCAGGAAACAGCATTTTTGAGGGGTCCACTTCACTCCACTCTGTGATTTCCTGCTTACTAACCTTGTATGATGCAGTGTGTTCAGGTTTAGGATATTATTTTGTAAAATGCTATGAAGTGAAATCTTTGAGATACTGCTCAGAATTATAACATTAAAGATCATGCTTTCTGACATTTGCAAGCAAATTGTCCCTCTAGTGAGCTTGATTGTTCCTAATGCACTGTTACACTTAACGGGTTTTTAAAGTGAAAGTTGAAATCATGTTTTTTCTAGAATAAACTGCATGTATGATTTCTCTTTTGGTTTTCACTGTGGAGGCTTAGTTTATTTATACCCTAGGGAGCCTCATGTGCAGCTTTATACTAAACTAGCAAATTTCAAATGCCCAAATTAATGAAAACTTTTGCTTTTAGAATGAAACTTGAAAATGGTAGTTTGGGGCTTGTTTGTTTGTTTGTTGTCCTTAAGAGTATCATAATGCTGGGCTACTCTAAAGGAGAAAGGGAATGACACTTTTGTATTTTAAAGTGTTACTGGCTGGTTCAGTTTATTATTTGAATTCTGGGTTTGTTTCTTTATTTATTTAGTTTTTCTTTTAAAGAGAAGCTTAATTTTCTTTTTTGGCAATTTACTCACAGAGTAATTAAAAAGCATGCTTTCAGTTAAAGTATGTATTTACAGTGTCTATATAGTTAGAATATATTTTGGGTTTCTATAACTTTGCATTGAGTGTTCCTGGATATTAAGTTTATCCTAAAGAGACAGCTGTTAATTTCAGCTTAAAAAAAAAAACAACAAACTTTTTGTGCACTTCATCACCAAAAAGATAAGAGGTATTTATAGATCTATTTATTCAAAAGTATATCAGACATGGATATCAAAGATCCACAACTTCTAGGTTCATTTAATTAAAACTATTTTAAAACAATTATTTTATTTAAAACTGTAAAGCTATTTAAAGTCAAAGCAATTTTTAATAAGTATTTCAGTTTCAAATCAGTGGTCCAAATCCTAGTATGTTCTCTTTGTGCTATATTCCCTGTGCAAAGACTCATGAGTATCAGCAGAACTGCCTACAAGATCAGGAGGAGGTTGGGCAGCACTTCACCAACACGTAGCCATGGAGAAGTGAGCAGCCAGTCTCTGTGTAACTCAGACACCCTGCACTTGTCACTTGGAGCATCTCTTCAGCCTTCCCAAGCTCTGCCAAGATACCACCCCTGCAAAGTCTCTCAGGGTTTGAGGGAGCAGAACAGGCACATGTGCACAGGCTGTCCACCCTTTGATCTGAGCTGCTCACTCCTCAGTTGTAACCAAGGGTTCAAATCTGGATCCAATTTCTCTTGGCATTCCTTTATGAAAAGCTGATGGTGCAAATTCTTGCTTTGTGTGACAATTCTGTCAGTGCAAATGATGTGCGTGGTCTGTAGTACATTATCAAACTTGCAGCTATCAACAGAACAAAATTTGCTTTGCATTGGAACTCCAAAGAGTGTGCAGGTAGTCCTGATGTTGGCCTTCCTGTGTGTTCTCTTCTCTTTGGAATACTGGTGACATTGCTTCCACCTGGGTGACCTGAGGAGTTAGCATCTTACAGACAGGTAAATCAAAAATCAAAAAGAAAAGTGGATTTGAATAGTTATTACTGCTTAAGGTAAAATAATACCAAGCAGCAGCTAAGATTGTTTCAGGAGGAAAACAGTGGAAAAAGGCTTCCCCTTCGTACACACTTGGTGCATTTTAAAGCCTTTTGTGTGTAACTTTTTATTTATTCTGTTTCCTTCCCTGCCACGCTGTTCTGCTTGGCAATAGGAGGACCATACTGTGCTGAGTTGAAAACATTTGTAATTGGTAGGAAAATTCAGGAAATGGTTACTGTTACATAGTGTAAAAAACTTTTCATAAAATATGACTGGATTTCAGGCTGCTAGTGTCCCTTCAGAGAAATTGTGCCACTTAATCACCTGCAGCACTCTGCTAGAAACCCCCATCTTCCTGTTTATTCTTTGAGCATAATTATTTCAAAGAGATTCTTGTGATAAAGAAAAAACCAACAAGGCTTTTTATGTAGATTCAGCATTATGCTGACAAAAAATATCACCACATAATTAACACCCTCACCCCAAACAGCCTAGACTAGACCAGGAAAGGCACTGTGCTGTAGTGTAGCCACACTATACCATGGGTTTCTTCTCAAGACAGCATAAGGAAGCAGACATTCCACAGCCTAGATATGCCAGCAGAAGTTTGTGATCTAGACACAGGCTGTGTTTAAATTATATTTTTTTTCCCATTATCTTTGCTTTCATACCTGGAAAATGCGTAGTAGCCCCGGTGACAAGCAGTAGGAGGTATTGTAACAAAAAGGGAAACTCTCATTTAGGGTTCTTGGTAGTAAAGGGCAAGTTTGAACTGTCGAGTAAACAGAGTACAATTGGAAGTCCAGGTTCTTGTGTGACTGGATGCTGTTCCACTCAGTAACCTAAAGGGATGTTACCCTCCTAAGGAAACGTGTTTGCCAACTTCGTACTGTAATGCAAAACCAAGAACATCTGAAAAGAATCAAAGTTATTTGTAACAAATTTATCTTAAGCTTCCTTTAGCAAAAGGAGTAAATAACTGTCTTTGAAAGTCACCCAAGCTTGTAATTTATATACTGTAGCAAAAAAAAAAAAAAAAAATAAAAACTGTCCCAAAGAAAATACACAAACCTTTTTGGATACTGTGATTTCTAAATGCCTGAAAAGACTGAGATTTTCTGTGAAATTCAAGTAAACAAACAGAACCTCCAATAAGAATTTCATGATCAAGCACAAACCAGAATGGAAAGTGAGGATAAAATGTTTAAGGTTTGGTCTGGTTTTTGGTGTAGTTTTCCTGGGTGATTTGTCTTTGTTTCAATAGTTAAACAAAAACACAGCTTCCTCAAAGAGCCTGGTGCCACCAGACAGGTGGGTTTCAAGTACTAAAATGTTGCCTTACTGCATCGTTGTGAAAGCAAATTGACAGATGGTGAGTTTCAGAATTCCTGGTAATTGGTGGGTGACCTGGATAGTGGTCACAAGACATTTTGCTCTCTGAACTCAAATAAATAAAAGCACAAACAGTAGCAAGTCAATCCAACAGTCTCTGATCTGAACAGGAGTGTATCAATGCTACATTTTGCAACACTTCTCCCCTTGTTTTTATCCCTTCTGTCTCCTTTCTACTTTACCACTTCATTTTCAGTATGAAATAGCACATGTTCTATCAGTTCTATCATTCACAGCACCATAAGGGAATTGAGTTAGGAGGGGACCTCAGAAAGTCTCCAGTCCAACCTTCTGCCCAAGGCAAGGTCAACTGAGATTGGACCAAATTGCTCAGGGCTTTATCCAGTCCGGTCTTGAAACCCTCCAAAGATGAAGACTGCGCAAACTCCCAGGGCATATTCCTTTTCCTGGCTGTCCTCAGGGTGAAAAGGTTTTTTCTTTATACCCTGTATAATAATCTCTCAATTTTCTGTCTCTCATCCTCCCAATACTCACTGCTGCAAGAGCGCTTCTTAATGACCTCCTCAGAGAAATCATCTCCAGGCTATACAGTGTTTTCTACCACTGTCCTCTGGTTCTTCTCATGTTCTTGTCCACAGTATCTTCTTTCCTGACAGGGATCCAGAATTCTTCTATTAAAGCAGGGATCCTGCATCCCTTTCCTCTTCCACCTTACACTCTGAAATTCAATAGTAAGATTTACAAATCAGCAATGAGGCCACAGGCAAAACCAAAATAGTAATTGCAACTGTTCTTGCAGTAAAAACTCCTGATGACTCTCACTGGCTCACCAGTGTACAGCAGTGATTGCAGAACTTACACTGATTGTTGTGCTACTCTTAATCAGCTGGTGTTTAAAGGACTGTATGCTGATGTCCATGTGTCTTAATGAAATATTTGAAATATTTTTCTCTAAAATAGCTACCCACAGAAGCCTAAAATATTCAACTACAAAGTTCTTTCTTAAGAATTAATTTTTTAAAATTTGGTGTTCTAAGGCTCCTTTATATAATTTGTGATTTGTACTACTTTGAATTAAATGTCGTGGTGATTCATATTGTCATAACATGAGCCTAGGGTTTACTGATTTCAGTAATGTCCAAATAATGTGGTCATCTCTTGAAGAAAATGATGGTGGGGAGTAGATGCATGCTGTTTTACCGTTGCACTGTGACAGCTGTTACTGAATTGATACCAGTGAATTTCAGCCAAAATCATACACTTAGGTTCATCCCAATTTTTTTATTTTTTTTTTAATGTGGCAAAGAGACTAAAATAGAAAATATAGAGACAGCACAGAAGCCACCCAAAAATTCTAAGGTATGTCCAGTACTAGACCAAAGTCCTCCATTAATCTAAAATGGTTAAGCTGCTCTTGTTGAAAACGAGTTTGAATCCATCTTCACATGACATCAGATCCATCAGCTCTCTCCCTCTGCTATTTGCCAAGGAGCTGTCTAGCAGTGTCGTCTTTGAGCCAAGTTGGGCCCCTGATGGAGCACTCATTTGTTAGGCTGCTGGGAAGTTTCCAGTAGCACTTCTGTCAAGTGCCAGTTAATGATCATCTCCCATTTCATTGCCTGGCACGGAAAATTAGTTTAAGCCCCACTACTGTGCTTTCACAGACTGATCAGCTTTAAAGCTGTTACCAAAAACAACTTTCAGAGTGAGAGCTAAATGTTTTTCAGAAAGCACCACGTGCCAAGTACTGCACTGAGAAAGCTTGACTGGTTTTGCCATAACATGTCCAGATTCCACAGTTGCTGTTTGCAATGCATGGAAGCGGTGCCCATGCTGTGTTTCCAACAGTGCACCTCTGAAGCTGGCCAGGATTCATTCTGCTCTCCCGAGCTGGCAGCCTTGCACAAGAAGGCAGTGGCTGCATCAGGAGTGGTGAAAGCATACATGCGCTAGAAGTTGAGCAATGTGAGATCTTCCTTCCATGTAAACCTTACACCTAAAAATAAAAGGTGTATTTTTCTTTTTTTTTTTTTAACTTTCGTTCAGGAACCATTAATGAGTTTTCTTTCTTTTTTTATTTTTTTATTAGAGAAATACAGCATTAAGCCAATCCCTCTGTTTCTTTTCCAGAAACAGGAATTAATGTTTTTTGCCAGAGAGAACATGCATCTTGCCACATGATGCTGAGAATCTTCGTGCTTGTACAGCTTTTCTGCCAGAATTTCTAATGAGATTGATAGTCTCTGAGGCTATCAGAGTAGCAAGAATACTTTCACACTGTTTTTCCTGAGCCAGCTGAATTCAGTGCACTGTGGAAGGGACTTGCAGAAAAAACGGGAGTAGAACATTTGAATCACTAAGGATCCATACAGTCAACTTCAGCAAGACAAAATGTCAGTATCTACCATCAGAGAAACCAGCAAGGTTGCTTCAAAAGACCCACCATAAGTAATAGAAAAGAGTATGGTTGAAAAGAGTTCTAAAGCAAAAAAAAACCAAAACAAACAAATTCTGAGGTTTCTAGTGACTTTTCAAAGATCTGAAGATTTATGTAGAAACTGATAACTAAGGGGGAACAATTCAGTGTTACACAAAGGTAAACATGAAGTATCTTATGGGCAAAAGAGCTGCAGAAATAATGTAGCAAAGACCTTAGATCAACTATGGTAATTTT